GAAAAAAATATGAGAAACTGAAAAAATGGAAATAAAGTGTTTGTAAATGGGGAGGGGAGGAGGGGGTGAAGGGAGGGCAGGGACAAGGGGAAAAAATGAGCATCAAGACCTATTATGTAAATTATGAATCCCAATGATGAATGTAATTGTACTGTATACCTAGATTGTATCAATAAACTCAATAAAAGAAAAACAAACAAACAAACAAAAAAAGAAGCAGGTAAGTTGAAACCTGTGTAGTAAAATAGTGCTTTTCAGGCAATATGTGCCCAGAGTATTCCAGAAGAAAGGAGAAATTAAATAATTCATGGAGTTATTCTCCTACTCTCTATCTCCATGGTACCATACATTAGTCCTATTTAGCACTTTCCACCTAGAGGTGTAAATGAGCCATCATCTGTTTTAACTTCCTTTCCTTTTTTAATTAATGTAACCAGTAAGTATATTAAATCAATGACTGTCAGCTTGTGTTAAAAATTTATGTATATGTATTTTAAATAGAACACATAATAAAAAGAAAGATCAACTATAATAATATATACAAAGATTAGGGCCAGTGATTTGGCTCAGTGGTTCCACTGCCTACCTCACAAGCACATACCAGACAATAATCATTAAACAAAAATATACTGCCAATTTATTTTGAGACAAGGGTCAATTATAAATTTTTTTTATTTTATTTAAGTAACTTTTTTCATAGTAAAATACATAAATAAAATATTGAGAGGGTATTTTTGACATTTTTTGACAGATTAAAGAGAGCACATATATTGAAACTTTTAGTGTTTCATCCTTATAAACTTAATTCTTGCTTAAAAATGGTACATCTTCCTTTCCTCTTCATCTCCCTCTCGGCCTGCATTGCAAGTACTGCAGATATGAGGTAAGCAAGCAAGACAAGACCACTGCCAGATCTGGTGCATGAGTAAGCTGGTGGACAGTAAAGGTGGCACTGGATCCAGGAGGGTATTACTGAGCTTTTATTTTATTTTATTTTTATCTTTATTAAGTTTATTGGTACATTTTGGGTAGACAATGGTTGCACTCATTATTGGGATCTTGTACTTTTATAAGACTTATCTTCGTTCTTATTTTTCCCCATTCCCCAGCCCTCTCTTCAGCCTCTCCACCCTTCAAGACATTGTTTTCATGTTTTTCCTTTTACATTTTTTTAACTTTTACCTTTCCCCTCCCCCTCCCTCTTTTAGGCCTTTTCTCTATTACACAATATCAATTATACATTTTGATTCTTTACACTTTTTCACACACGAGAAACTATTTGATATTTATACGTGACAAGTATGCTTCAATGTGCATCCACTCAGCTATAAATATCTCTGGTTTCTCATTCATTATGGCTGAATTGTACTCCATTTTATAAAATATATATATTTTTATCCAGTCTTCAGTTGATGAACAACTGGACTGTTTCCACATTTTAGCAATGACAAACTGCCACTATGAACATGGGTGCACATATATCACTGTGGTGTGATTCTTTTAATTTTTTTGGAAGATACCCCGCAGAGGAATAGCTGGGTCAAATGGGACTTCTAATCCTAGTTGAACCTACATATTGAACCAGTCTGCACTTCCACCAACAATGAAGAAGGGTTCCTATCTCTCTCCTCACAACCCCACCAGCATTTGTTATTGGCTGATTTTCTTGATAGCAGCCATTCTTCCTGGGGTGAGGTAGAATCTCAGTGTTGTTTTCATCTGAATTTCTCGAATGACCAGTATTACCAGTGATGTCAAACATTTTTTCATGTTTATTTGCAGCTTTTACTTCTTCGTCTGAGAAATGACTTCATTTCAGATGTCCATTTTTAAATTAGGTCTTTATGTTTGGGGGGGGGTCTGATTTTTTAGAGTTCCTTATATATTCAAGATAGCAGACCTTTGTCAGAGGAACAGCTGATAAAAAAATTGTTTTCCCCCATTTTGGGTTGTCTCTTAGCTCTGCCTGTGATTTCTCTGGCAGTGCAGAAGCTTTTTAAAGATGTGATTCCAATTGTTGATTCTTTGTGTTAGTTCCCATGCTATTGAGGATTGTTCATAAAGACTTTTCCTATGCCAATATGAATTCTACCTATCTTCCAGCAAGTTTAGTGGTTTGGTTTTGTTTAGTGTTTAATATTTAGATCTTTAATCAACTTGAATTTTAGTTTAGTACATGGTGAAAGATATGGGTCTAGTTTTAACCTTTGACAAGATGAAATTGTTTTTCCAACACCATTTATTAAAGAGGCTATCTTTCCTCCACTGAGGATGGTTGGCTCCTTTGTCAAAGATGAGGTGGCTGAGTATGTTAGGAGTTATTTCTGCATCTTCTAATCTGTTCCACTGATCCTTGGGTCTGTTTGCCAGTACTGTGATGTTTTTATTACAGTGGCTTTGTAGTACAGTTTCAAGGTGGGGATTGCAATACCCTCTGCCATGTCTCTATGCCTAGAATGACTTTCGCTGTTCTACGTCTCTTCTGATTCCAAATGAATTTTTGGATTTTTTTTTTTTGTTCTGTGAAAGATACTGTTGGGATTTCAATGTGGAGATCTTTTGCTTCCTGTGTTAGATTGATTCCTAGATATTTCATTTTTTTGGATGGTATTGTGAAAGGGATTGTTTCCCTAATTTCACTCTCAGTGAGTGTGTTGTGTGTAAGAAAGCTATTGATTTTTGAGTGTTTACCTTTTATCTAGCTACTTTAATGAACCTGTCAATTAAATGTAAAAGTCTTTTGGCAGAGTTTTTTTGGGGGGGCGTCTTCTATGTATAGTATCATATTGTCAGCAAATAATTAGTTTAACGTCTTCATTTCCTATCTTTATTCCTTTTTTTCTCTTGTGTAATTGTTGTGGCTGTTTCCAAAACTATATTGAACACGAGTCATGACAGTGGACATCTTTATCTTGTTCCTGATGTTAATGTTAAGGTTTTCAGTTTTTGAACCATTTAGTATGATGCTGGCTATTGGCTTTTCATAGATAACCTTTATCAAGATAAAGACCATCTATTCCAATTTTCTGCAGGTGTTTTATTATGAATGGGTGCTGAATTTTGTTGAATGCTTTTTCTACATTTATTGACATGAGCATATGGTTTTTGTCCTTGACATTGTTAATATAATTTATTGATTTACATATTGAATCATCCTTACATCTCTGAGATAAATCTGACTTGTCAGGGTGTACGATCATTTTGATGACTCCTCCGTATTGTTTACCAGTATCTTATTGAGGATTTTTTCATCTATGTTCATTAGTGAGATTGGCCTGTAGTTTTCTTTTCTGGTTGGGTCTTTCCGATTTGGGAATCAAAGTAACACTTGCTTCCAGGAATGAATTTGGAAGTATGGCTTCTCTTTCAATTTGATTGAAAAGTTTAAAGAGTAGTAGCAATATTACTGAGCTACCTAGAGTTGGGTGTGTAACTCAGGGGTACACTATTTAACTAGAAGGTATGAGGCTATACTTTTCATGTTTTGGGGGTGAAGGGAAGAAAACAAACCCCAAGATATCCAGGTAGATAACTGACATCAGGTGAGGTATTACAATGTATACATGGTGGTTAAACCATGGGGGCCACTGAGCTTCCCAAAGGAAAGTTATCTGTCTTTCACTTGACTAAAAATAATCTTGGTTACATTGAAAGGAAGTTAAACCCAAACACATACTATAGTACAATGCAGGGAGAGGCATGGCTCTATTCAGATTGTGGTTTTATTAGAGAAAAGACTCCAAATATTTATTCTAATGCTCATTACCTACAGAGAGCAATCTAGTCCCATCTATAATTTGTGAAGTAACATTTTCCCTTTTTATTGTACTATTATAATGCTAATATCAGCTTTTCAGTTTTCCTGTGTTCATCTTTTTAACAAGAATACAGCTGAAGTCATTTTAAGGAAACCAAAATTTATTATAAAGAGGCAAGTTTATCTGCCCAAATGTAAGGGTAGAACACAGCCAGTCCTTAGAAAGCACCACCTCTGCAAAAGAGACTGCTTTCAGGCAATTAAACTGTGTACTTCCCTGTCAGCTTCCTCTATCTCTTCATTTTTCTTCATTGGGAGATCAGTCCTAACAGTTAAACAATCCACACCAAGGTGGAAGAGTAGCTATAAATTCAAGTATTTATGAGTGACAGTTTTAGCCACATTTTTGGTCTGATTCATTTCTACAGTCTGAGGAAAGTGACTTGGACTTATTCTTACTTTTCATTCCTGTGTCAAGGTTTTAACAGCATCATAAAAACAAGGAAGGCAGTGATGTGCTGGAGACCACTCATAAGGCTCACAAGAGAAAGTTGCTAAATTTTTAGAAACATTGCAATATGGTTTTTAAACACAATGATTACTAGTTATATAAGGTTATAATTATATGAAGGTAATAAATATAAAACTTACCAGTTGAATAGTCAATTGAAATTTACCATTTATTCTTAAGATTATTTACATCTATTATTTGTTTTTCAGGTTATTTACATGTATTATGGCTTTCTAAATAAACATACATGAGTTGTTAGGGGGCTGGGCCAGAATGTTATGGTTTGTACCTAGATGTCCCCCAAAGCTTCATGCAGGCACTGGGAAGTGCTTTTTAGAGATGGCTGAGAATGTTATGGTTTGTGTCTCAAAGCCTCATGGGGTCATAGGATGGGCCTTTTCAGAGGTGGCTGGACCTTGAGTGTGTGACGCTGGGACTAAGGGTGTGTGATTACTAAATCAGTCTACTGATTTGTTTGGTATCCACCCTAAGCGAGGTAGCCTAGATTGAATGTAAAAGGGACAGAAAGCAGCTGCAAAGGTCACCTAGACTTGCTGCCTTCTGCCTGTCCTGCTTTGCCATGAACTGTTTTTTCTCTGTGATGCCTCTGTGCCATGCCACCCTGCCTTGGAACCAGCAAACTACAGACTGAAACCTCTATGAACTGTGAGCTAAATAAATCTTTCTTACTTTAACTTTAATTGTCAGGTATTTTGTTTCAGCGATGAGAAAAGTAACTAAGACAACATCTATTATGTAATGTGATAGAAATACCAGGAAATGGAAAGGATATTTTATTGCTCATTTCTTCCCAGTTCCAATGTTCAGTGCTGTGATGTCACACTGGTACTTTGAAATCTATCATGGGAGAAAAATTTGTCACAGAACTTGATAAAGCACTACAAAAAGCTAAACAAAAAAATGGCAGGGGCTGTGGATGTATCTCAGTGTGAAGAAGCTGGGCTCAACCCTCTGGTACTGGGTAAATAAGACAAAAAGCACAGGTAATTTGGGTTTAGAGGGTCTTTGAGACATGTCAATATTAGAATGATTCCTATCTCTAAGCTTTGATTTTTAATCAAAGGATACAAGTTTCAGGACAGACCTGTCTAAAGACTTTTACCAATTTTCATTCTTTACTTTAAAAAAAGGAAATAATTAAGCATTGTTAGTATTCTTTCACCCACTCTAGCTCCTTCCTCAAGATGGAATTTTTGAGTTCAGCTATTCTAGGACCTGAAACTGGCATGGCTTGTAGTCTCTCATCTGTCACAGCAGATTTTATTTGTAACACGTTTTGTGGATATGAGCACTTGTCTTCTTTAAAGGGATGGAAAGCATTCTATCTCCTATTGTAGAGGAGAAACTGTAATCCTCAATGACATCTATAGTCATGTGTTAATTAACATGACCAAATAACATTTTAGTCTAACTGGAATACACTGACAGAGAACAATGACAATGGTTACATATGATTATAACTGAACTTAGGTGGTAATCATCCTAATGCTGTATTGTAAAGTATTACATGTTTGTGTGATAATGCTGATTAAACAAACCTACTCTATTACCAAGTGTATAAAAGTACAGCACATGCTATGTTAAATATATAATAACTCATAATAAATTACTATATTACCAGTTTATTTACTATGTTATTAAGACTTCCACTTGCAAAATTAATTTACTGCAAAACATTATGCTGTCTTACACCAACAGCAGCCTCACACATCTTGCATTTATTGAGTGTCTTGATTACACCAAGAGGCCACATTAAGAGACTGGCCATCTAGGTTTGCAATAAGGACACTCCATGATGTTCATAAAATGATGAAATTACCTGATGGTGTGATTGTCGTAATGCATCCCATCATTACATGCCACATGACTGTAAGAATTTATACTGTACACTTAACTTTCTCTGGTACACTTAACTTTCTCTGATCCTTTTATTATAGCTGTCAGGGTTCTGTAAAGAAAAGAATCACACAAACACAGTGGATAGATTATTGTACATGTAAAAAGCTCTTGTCAGATTGTTTGGGTTTTTATATCTTTATATTACATAAGCGAGATTACTTTAGTTCAGACAAACACTACGTAACATTTTTAGCAAATTGCACTTAAGAACATTAACTGTTTTCAGCTTGTTTACCCCGGTGAATAGAACTGGGATAGAATTTTTGTCTTAGTGGTAACTGGGGTGAAGTTTGCTCCAATCAGTCAAGTATTTGTCCTTGGCTGGTCTCCCAGACCTTTAAGAGAGTAACTAGTATTTTTACACTCCTTATTCGTCAGTCCCTTCAATTCCCCTTTTTTGTTTTAGCACAGCAATAGCACTTTTTTGGGGGTCACAAACTTATACAGTAAGGCCAAGCATTGAATCCCACAACAAAGATTAAGAGAGGATATAATAACCAACATTAAAAGAAAAAGTTTTTTACCCATTGCATATTTGGCAGCCATTGAGTCAATCACTGCAATCATTTTTTATTATGTATTTTTCCCGCCAATTTCTCTAGCCACTTTATTTTTTCTTGGAGTCCTAAGCTGTTATCAGTCATATTAAAGCAGCAAGTACTTTAAATTTTTTCGCACCCTTGATGGTGAAACAAGAGCAAATAATTTATCACTGCTCTGTTATCTAGAATGGCCTGTCAATGCTCTTGTAATTCTTCATTGATCATTGCCAGAGCAGATGAAGTAGCATTTAAGCCTTTAACCAACTTACATGTTAGCTTTTGCATGGCCTTTTCTGCATGAATACCTATGGCAGGCTGTGTAAGAACAGACACTATCATTGGTATTACTAGAGCATCTGGCAAAGGACCCAAGTCATCATCACATCCTGGCTCAGTATAGGGGGACCATTGTTTAGTCCTTATGGGTATCATCAAATTGGCTCGGTCTAGCAGCACTACAGCCAAACAACCCAGGCAACAATGAGTCTCAGGATAAGTTGGCAGGGATATAATTAAATGTTATATCTTTACATGTATAAAACCAACCTAACTGCAAAGGTATATGGCCATTATATGTGATTTCTTGTTCCTTACGACATGATATATTTTGTAACTTTTGCAGTTCCGGACATTTAGTAGTACAATTTTTATACATGGCACATTGTGTACTATTTAGCATAATCATCTGGGGTGTATAAAATTTCACAGCATTTTTTGGTTTATGATAGGAGGGGGTTCCCCAATTGTAATATCTTCATAAGTGAGATTCTTTCCTAGGATGTCTTCAGACAAGGTATAGGTCATATCAAACTCAAAGGAATACACACTGGGACGAGTCAGTTCCCTAACACACAGTGTAAGTTTACATCTACAGTTAAACAAAATTCAGACAAATGAAGTGATTGTGCTAGCTAGATCCAAGCATTACCAGGACTGTCTAATTGTTTTTTTTGATAATACAGCAGTTACCCCGGAAAACAAGAGCCCAAAAATGATAGCCACAATAAGAACAGAGTTACGGGTAAGTATTTCAGAGATAGCCACGAATAAATTTTCTGCCGTTTCCTCCTTGTGTTGTTCCTGTAGCAGTGGCTGAGCATCAGTAACCAGAATCTTTACATCTCCCCAGGTGATCTTACTTCCTGTTCTTTCTGTCCAAGGCCTCTTCCTCTGTGGGGGGGTCCTTCAGGGTCAACTCAAACTTCAGCAATGGGTTCTTTGGACCGTTGGACCAACTCATGTTGCTGTAGGGCTGGATGAACTGCCCATGCAGGAACCCAACGAATACCTATGGGTGTCAGCAGCATACTCCTGTGCACAGGTTATCGGGGCACTGGTCCTCTCCAAAAAGGGCCCGAAAGTTCCTTATAAAACACCTGGGGCTTAGATAACGGCATCTCTGAACGCCAATGTCTTTCGTAGGGAGTAAACCAGCTGTGGGAGGCCTCATCATAAAACTTTGATAAAAAATTATGCTTAAATAAGTAGAAATAAGACTTGCTGCTTATGCTACAGGATTCATTCACCTTTTTTGTTTTAAGCGAAAGCATCAGAAAGTGTTCAGGATCTTGATGTGCTCGTTCTACAATGGCTTGGCCTGTGCGGTTACGGGAATACCAGTTTTATGAATTAAGCCCCAATACTGACAAAACTGAGAAAAGGCTTTGGATGTGTAAGCAGGGCCATTATTTGTTTTAATGGCCTTGGGGTGACCCAAGGCAGCGAAAGCAAACAGAAGATGTAAATGAGCAGCTCTGGTGGATTTATGGGTCTGTGCAGTGACCCAGAGCACTTTGGAGAACCTTATCATGAAGACATGTAGATATCTGCAAGGGGCTAAAGAGGGAAGAGGAGTGACATCCATTTACCATAATTTATTTGCCATGGTCCCACACAGATTTACTGTATGTAGTGGGAACGAAGAACAAAGCACAAGTGGGGCAGGACAACACAATTTGGCTTGGGACAAAGGTATATTAAATTGATGTTGTAAGGCTTTTGTATTTTGATGAAATAATGTATGACTTTCCAGAGGATCTGTAAATAAAGATAAACGGCATAACGTGGAGTTAGCATGCACACTCCCTTCTGAGAGAAATCCACGAATAGCAGTATGACTACGTATATGTATAACAAAAAGTGGATGGTGACGTAACTGCTATAGCTTCTGTAATGTAATAAATAGGTGAAACAAAGCTTGATCAAGATGAGGGGAAAGAATACCAAGAAATACGAGGTAAAAGATTAGAAACATATTGACTATCCAGGATTATATTAAGTGGCTGAGAAGGAAACAATCGTAAAGCATGGATGTAGGCCACCAACTCATTACGTTGGGCTGAAAAGAAAGTGAGCAAGAACGGTGCCATTGGGAACGATCATACCAGGTGACTACTCCCCAACATTTGTTACCATCTGTAAAGAGCATTAGAGCATTAGCAATGGGCAGATGAGCAAAGATGGTCTGTATTTTGAGACAGCCCAGAAAATATGTGAAAACATGGATCCTTAGTAAAAGAAGCAAAATGTAACAATACTACAAAATTATATAAGGCAACGGCATAAGATGTGGACTCTGGAAACAAAGCATTATGGTCTCCTTGTAATTGGGAGCCAGATTGTAACAAGATCAAAGCCTAGTAACTGTTGAGCCCATGTATGGGCCTTATCCATTCTGCAAGTGCATCTTCCGCTGGCATAACACTCTTTCCTGTACAATGTGACAAATGTAACCATTCTTTTATGAATACTTTAGTGGCTTCAGCAGATGGCGTAAATAATGTTCCCGTTGGGTAAGGATTTCCTGGAAAGATAACAAGGAGAAGCAAAGCACTTAAAGGCCAGCGATCCACAAATTGCGACTGTAAGATACTTTCAATGTGCTGCCATGCCCAATAAAACTGCTGAAGGGGTGCTTAATTGTTCAGGAGAGCAAAACTTTTGAAAATGAAAAAAAGGTTTTAACAAATCTGTTGTTATAGGGAAATAAGTATGACCCTAGTTGAGGTGACCATGAAAAGTCTATAAAGAAGCTAGAGAAAATGAACAAGGTAATTGTAAACACAACTTTAACACCCACGTACTTAACTGGAGTGTATACATTTCTATGAAGTCTACTGGAGTACATATATTGATTTCTCTTCTACCTTTACTTTCCCTCCATTTATTTTTGAAGATATTTATCCATCCTGTAGTTTCCCCTTGTCTGCATTTTGCTAATGTTGGGAATACTTAACATATTCACCTGTGCTTTATGTACTGGATTTCTCAGCCTTGAATACTGGTATTTTCTTCAGTAGTTCTTTGCTCTGGAGGGCTTTCCAATGCATTATAGCATGTTCAGCAGGATCCCAGGTATTTACCCATTAGATGCCAGTAGGACTCCCATGTTATGGCAACCACAAATTTCTCCAAATACTGTCAAATGTCCTCCTGGGGAACAAGCACCCTCCTTTTCTCCCACTCCCACCCTCACCTCTCTTCCAACCCATGACTGTGAACTGAAGCCATAAAATACAGTCAGACTAAAAGAGGCAGCTAGTTCAGGATTGTACAGACTGCAATTTATTGGGCAGCAGCAAGACCAGATAGATCCCAGTGATAGTGATATGGTCAGGATGATGAAACTGATAAGGTGGTCTGGACAAAAATGACTTCATGTAAGGTAGAATGAATCTGGTTTATCTCAAGCTATCATCAAAGAGTCAGACACATTCCTGGGACCAGGGTCTGTCTGGTCACAAGGGTCACATACCACTCTAATAGTTCTTTTAATAGTATGTTAGGAAAATAAACAGAGAAAATCAACTAGGATTTCTCAGAGGTTGTAGTTATGGCTGTTACAACTCAGGGTAAATCCATACAGCCATGGCAGTCATGTCAAGATGAATCCATATAGTCTTTATGAGATCCAATTTAACTTTATGGCAACATTACTTTACAGATGTATGTGTATGGATATCAGGATGCATATAACATCTGATGGTCTTCTTTGTGTGATATTAATTAGTTCCCATGAATAATCACTGCATTGAGCTGTGTATTTGAGTAATGGCTGTAAAACAGTAATATCCTATTTCTGGCATTGCTTTGCTCTGGCCATACATGAGCTGTACAACTTCCACAGAGAGACACTTCCCTTCATCAACTACTTTCCTGGTAACTCTGATACAATTCTAATTGGAAAGATAGGATAAATGATTTCATTTTATCACATCAAAAGAATTAGTTTCCTACATCATTCAAAGGGTAATAATTAATTGTTCTGATCACAATGAATTCATGGATTCAAACATATCTGATACATTACCATCCACGCAACTTTTACAGATGCTCAAAAAATCTAGTTCACCAATTGGAACCACATTAGTTGACTCTTCTCCCGAGTCACTTTGCTAAGATCCTAGCATTCTTTTCTTTCTTTTTTTATTTTTTGGTACCAGGGATAGAACTGAAGACCTTGCACTTGTAAGGCAGGTGGCAGCACCACTGAGCTAAATCCCCTGCCCAAGATCTTAGCATTCTTTGATGTAGACATTAACACCATGGCATGACAAAATGTTCTAGGCTCATACTATACATTTGCTTTCCCTACAAATACTGATATTCTCTACGATTTTAGAATTTCCTTCACCTCTTTACTTTCCACACTCTAATTCTTAGGAGTTACAGAATCCAACTTCCACTTTTTTGCTGAATTCACATACTTGCATCAGAAACAATGGCCAAGGAGGAGGGAGAGGTGGAGATCTGATCAGACTTGTTAAAAAGATCTTAATAAAAGCACACAAACACTGTGCTGGCTCAGGGTGTCTAAGGTTAGCAAATACCAGTTTGCAATCTTTCATCTGATGACAAAGAATTTGCCCGATTTAATAATGAATATTCAAATATTATGCTTCAGAGAACTTAGATTTTTGTTTTCCTCTAAGGTGCACCAGTCACCATAAATTCGTGTAAGCTTTGTACCTAACGTATTTTCTAACTCCATGCTCCAGGGTAGGTGCTCAACCTCAAAATCCAGTCTTCCTACATGTCTAGTACTGCTTTTGTTTTGGTTGGAATCACAGTAGGTCCTTACTTTTCAAGTGTAGCTTTTTTCCCAAACCTTATCTCAGCCCCTTGTCCTCTTACTCCTTACCTAGGTTCATGTTCACTGTTCTTAGATCCTCAACCACATCAATCTCTCTCCCTGAGCATCGTGTTGTTACCTATCTTGAAGATTTAGCTCTACCCTTGTTTTAGCTAGTTCCTTTTTACCCTTTACCCTTTAGGTATCAGGCTAAATTTCAACCCTCCTAGAGGCTTTTAGTAGACTTCCTATTTATGGTCTTGCTTTGCAGTACAAGCTGGCCTTGAACTCGTGCTCATTCTGCTTCATCCTCCCTAGTGGGATTACAGAGAGAAGTGCGCCACCACACCCAGCTAGTTTTTTGTTTTTTTCCATTAAGAAGTTTCTTCTTTCACTATATTAGCATTTTGTCTTTCATGAAATTTAACAAGTTTACATTTGCTTACTTACTCCTTGCCTCCTTCCACTAGAATATACTCACATTCCCTTGAAAGCAAAACAAAACAAACAAACAAAAAAAAACGATGTTTTTTAAGCCTAGGTCCTAGAGCAATACATAAGACGAAGTGTAATCTTTACCTTGGTTGACTTAACAAATGAATAAAACATCCAATAACAAACATTCTTTTTGATTGCCACTTCTTACCTAACTACTCAGGGCTTGCCAGGGATCTCCGCGAAGCGTTCTGGATGAGAAAACTGCATCACCTAGGCGCTTGCAGCACAGCAACCAAAATACTAGCAACACAGAAACCTCAGCACAAGCAGTGAAGCTCAGTCCAGAGACTTCCGGGCTGCGCGGCACAGGACGAGACAACGTGCTGGCGTCACATAAGCACCGCCCCTTCGCACTGTGACGTCCTCAGAAGGGAACGGAACGTACACAGCGCAGAGCATTTCGGGATCGGGATTGTTTCGCGCCGGAAGCGGGCTCCATTTTAGCGCCGCCCGCCATCGCCATCTGTTTCTCTTCTTTACTCCTCCTTGATCCTCTCTCCTACGGGAAGGTTGCGCCTCGACCACTGGCGACGCGAGTGGAAAGAGGGCAGGGAAAAGGGAGAAGCGGGCGTCGACGAGGGCGCGTGGTCGAGGTGCATAGTGTGCAGCCGGTCGGACGGACTGACGGACG